CTAGGTGGGAAGATCGACCCAAAGCGGTGCTGTGGGGTTCTTCGATTGTGGACCAGGTGAGGAAAGGTCGGGGAGGACAGTTCGACTGATATTCTATTTTTCCGTGTTTGAGTGGTGCCGGTGTCTTTCTTCCATCAACCCTACTAGAACGTCACATCGGTTGAAGGTCTTGCGAAGCTTTTTTCACTCGGCTTGCTTTCCGCGTGCCCTTCTGACCAACTGGTCTAGCTGATGGCCCAAGTGAGTGAAGCTCAAGAGGGTCATGGTCATTGGGGGGGACGCCAATTTTGGCAACGACAGACACATGGGGGGGCAATGCGCATGGAATTTTCCATATGGTCGTCCGTCAACATTACATAGCTCAAAGCGTCCAACCCCCAGGCGAAAGAATTCAATTTTTCACTTGGGGGTCAAATGATCAAGGTCATGACATGACGAAGACAAATGAAAAGTGGTCCGATGATTCCTGACGACCCCAAAGGAGTAGAGCTTTCGAGCCATTTTTCATGCGCTGTTTCAATGAGACACTTCCACAACATATGCACCCGAATTCTTGTTCAGGTCGGTTCCTCCTGAGGACTTGTGCAGTTTGACTGCATTTTCTACCCTCCCGTACCCGGTGTTTCTGCACCTTCCCGCGGCAATGGGGTGATGCGCTCCCTCACGTTGCGGCTGCTGCTGCTATTGCTTTGGTCAAGCTGTCTTGCACAGGCGTGGACCACGTGCATGGGAAGGTGAATTCGTTGAACATTTGCGCAGGAATTCTGCCCAGGAATTTCGAACAAAGGAAGCACCGGCCAGGAAAAGTGATTATTCGTATTACAGAACTTCCTCCTTCCTTCGCTCACAGCTCTAACAGGATCTCTTCGAGAACACTGGGCTTCTCGCGGAGTACTTCGCGCCGTTCTCGCCGGAAGAGTCCTGTGATCCGGTGAACGGCTCCACACAGGCACAGAAGTGGCAGAAGGGAGGAAAGGTGTGGGTGTGTGCGAAACTATTGGAATCACAGGGAACCTTTTGGTTTTTAGGAGCAGGGGGCAGCAGGGAGTCCCCTGTCTGTTCGGCTGCCAACGAAGACAGCTGTGGATACTCCGTGAAGCAGATATAGACGCCAATCTGTGTACCTGCATTTCATAAGTGTGGCGTTCTGTAACCACTTTCTCCTCTAGATGACCAGGCTGTTTGAGGTAACTTTGAGGTTCGCAGACTCTGCATGTGACGTCGATCACTCTTCATGACTTCGAGGTTTGGACTCCTTTGACTTCAACCGGATGTGATACTACGACAGCGCAGTCCGGTTACTGGACACCCATGAGTCTCTCGAGCTTACCCCGCAAAGAACCAACATGGGGAATCTAAAGATCCACCAGATGGTTTTGATCCCCTCCCACAGTTCCGGAGAGCGCAGAGTGAGAGTGACCGGCCGGTGTGGCAGGTCCTACGGACTCGCCTTCCCAACCTGGTACGCCGGGTGGAGAGGCAGGGTCCAATGGGTCCATCACGAGTTTAAAACCAATCCCAGGAGATGGGTATGTGTATATCACAGTCCCATGACGCATAGCCTAGTATGCACCTGTTGTAGGAGGTGTTGGTAGAAAAAGTGGCCGTACAACTCATTCTTCAGCTGCTTTTCCGATTTCTCAAACAACAATTGGCCCGCAACGAATGCCAGACTGAATTTCGCGAGCCGGGACGACTTTGACATCGACCGCTGTGCCTTTGAGAAGGAGCCATCTCTGGTTTGCACCTTTTGTGCTCCTTGTGCCGTCACGCAGAGCGCTACAGATCAAGGCAACCACGTTTGAAAGGGGATTTTTGATGACTGAAGTTAAGTTGGGAGTCCCAGAGGAGAATTGTGGTCAGGAGTTCAACACTTGGCGATGGGTTTGTGCTTCAAAGCGTTTTGGTTTGTGCTTCATGCTTCTGCCACTTGGGGCCGCTCGTCCACAGGACTTGTCGGGCGACAATTTGCTGTACAACTGTCGAGGCCAAGAGGACGCCAAACACTTCCGGTGTCGGGGATTGGCGGGGAGTGGATTTGGATGATTCCATTTTTGAGTTCAAACATCTGTTTCCTTTGCTTTTGAAGTTCTTTGTCCATTTGCTGGTCTTCTCCAGTCTTGGAATCACTCCTTTGCTGACATTTCCTTTGGCCGACGCAGAGATGCGACAGGGCATTTTGCTCGATTTTGTCAGGAGCTTCGGAAGAACTTTGCAGCGCGCTACACAGGCTATTTCTACATCTTTTTAGAAGGCCTCGTGTTGGTGAAGCGGGTGATTGGATGGTGATGGTGTGTGGCTAGCATGATTAAAGCCACTAGTGACTTGTGCAGGAGCCATGAACATAGACTTCGACGGGGATCCAGAAGAGGGGCCCATAATGAGTTGCAAGCAACATGTGACTTCTATCCAGTGAATTGAGGCATCTACACCTTCCAGCTGGATGCGGGCGATGGTGTGCGGATGATCCTGGGCCACGATGCCTGCCCTGGCCAGCTCTGTGCCACAAGGCGAGCACCCGGCAGCAGTTGCTGGGTACGCTGCAAAGAAGTGGACACCTACCAGTTTGTAAAAGTCATAGTCGGGGCCATTTTCCATGACCCCTCCACTAAGAAGTTAATTGGAGGGCGGGTGTCCCACGAATTATCTTTCTCAGTTTTGTCTCTGCTCCGACAATTTGTCGAACATCTATTTTGGTGGAAATTAAAGTCGGATAAACACATTAATTTGCATGTTCCCAGTGTACCTTGGATCAAGCTAGGGTCCATATCTACTTGAGAACAAATCAAGAGGTTGTGGAGAGGTTGCACACCCCTCAATTAATAATAAGGGATCCGGGTCCATGATGCAAGAAATGCTGGCCCCAACTTGTTTGGCACTTTGGGTGCCAAACGAATACCGATTTGTGGCGTGATGAAATTGCGCCTCCTAGATGGGACGCGGCGATAGGAGGCATAGCTCCTGGCGTGACAAACACCCCGGCAGGAAAGCAGCCACCACACTGAAAGCCAAGCAGCCACCAAATTAAAGACCAGGCAGGAAAGTAGCCACTGCATGAAAACCAGACCACCATCAACCTGAAAAAACCAGGCAACGTAAATTATTTCAGGGGGTTGGCCTCTGAAAGAAGGGTAGATTATACAGTTTAGTTGGCAAGCATAGGCCTGGGGAAGTGGCAGGGGGATGCATCACCAGCCCCACAAAAACACTGCAGGAAAGTAACCACAACACTGAAAGACGGGCAGGAAAGTAGCCACCGCATGAAGGCAAACAAAGGTAAACTGAACATACAATACAAAGGTTCCGGGAACCAATGGAGACCATCGTCCCCAAATTTCCCCGCACTGTAGTCACATCCACTACTGTTTTGACTTGGGCAGAGTCTTTAAGCGCGGCTCATGTATGATGTTGGCGTGGCTGCTTGGCGAACCAAGGGAAGTTGAGAGATGTTTGGATTACTGGATGGGGTTTTGCCACCTGGGGAGGGGAAATAAAGCCAAGGGTTTGTGAGTAGTCGATTGGTGAAGGGGCTACCCCAAGCAAAGTCTATAGACAATTTAATGAGGGGTAGAGGTATCCTTGATTAATTTCCACAAAACAGGTGGTCGGTAGGTCCCTCAATTGTTAATTTTTTGAGGGGACCCCCACCAGGGCCCCATTTAACGTAGGGTTATGATTTTCCAATAGATGTTTATCATGTTAGTCAATCAGAGTGTCCACTGTTCTCTGAGATTGTGGTTCTTTGCAATGCGAAAGGTTTGATATGGTTCACCAGTTTGGGACTGGTCGGGCGATCCCTGGAATGGGAGCTGGTGAAACTTTTGATGCCCCTTTGTTGTGGGAGGGGTTTTGGAGTGGCAACGCGCGCAAGTCGTGGCCTGGGGCCTGGGCGGGATGAACAGAATCCGAAAGGTCAGTATGAATCCCACAGTTTAACAGGGACCAGGAACGTACCTTTGTCTCGTTTATTTTTTGTGACAGGTATGATGTGGAGAACTGGGTCATGCAGAATATGCGCAAGAATCGCGTGGAAGATGGCTCCTATGGGAACCAATGTGACGAGTGCTCAAAAGGCCAGGCATTGCATGAACACCTAGGTAGCTGGACAAGTTAATTGGTTCAAGAACTTTCTTCTTTATACATTGGAGAATTCCTCACCTCCAGCACTTTGGACCCGGAACCAGACCGTGCCTCGTTCCGCAGGCATCTACGACAACTGCCGAGTGACAGACTGGGGCTGTGAGCCCTTCAGCCTCTGGCAGCTCGAAGGCGCCAGGGCAAAAGCAAAGCGGAACAAGACCTTGCAGCAAGCAAAGGGCTGATGAATAAAACCTTCCACGACTGTTGATAAATAAAACCTCTTCTCTACCACCCTCGCTTCAAGATCCACCGCCCTTGTTTGAGGTCTTGAAACGCCACTGTGAACACACTTGGTTCATCAGCAGCAAAAGAAAGCACGTGAAGTGAAGACGACCAAAGAAAAGCAGCACATCAAAGCGGGAACTCCCACGTTGATAGGTGTTTCGAGCACCCTTCTGTGCACAATCTAGCAAACTAGGTAAGCTCGTCGATGGCAAAACGGGGGATGGCACCGACAATTGAGGGAGAGCTTTCCCTTCTGTTTTAAGTCTGTATTGATCATATGGGGCTTGAAATAGAATCAGCGGTCGAGATTAGCGAGTCATCATATTTTGGTCCTCAAGTGGTGCCAATTGATCGATGGGACGACGTTTTTTGTGAGGTGATAGCTGCAGAGACCCCGTGGGCAGAGAAGAGTGTCGGCAATTCCCGTTTCCAATCTCTCGGAATTACCAATGTTGGATGACCACAGTGACTACGGAGGATTAACACGATGGACATGGCAAGCTCAAACCTAAACCGCCTAACACTACGGTTAATTGTTCAGACACCAATTCCCATGTCGTTTCGGGTAAGAGTTGTCCTAACCGCCATCCTTCATCCAACGTCGGAGGTTAGTAGAGGACCTTGCTTCCCAGGTGATGGAGGCCTCTCCGGCACCTGTTCGGACCAGCCCTCTGTGCTGCAAAGCACGAGGCACGGAGCGCCAGGCCTCATCGGTCAGGCGATTCCCAAGCATGTGAGACATGAATCACCACTTGAGAAGATTACCCGGCAATTCACTCGTTCTACGGGAAGTCGCCTGACCGGTATTTTGTACTCGTTTTTTTGTTTGATTCAGATGGACTTTGTATCGGACCTGCACGGGTGATGCTCGGAAGACTCTTTTTGGAGATTCCCCGCCAAGCCTTCTTGTCATGTGGTGCAAGACTGTCAGACGGTTGAACTTAGATCAATCGGTTCCTCGCCTCATCACACCCACGAACCAAAATGAAGCCGTCGAACTCAGACTGTTTGGCCAAAGAGGTTGCCGCACCATGCGAAGTGATCGAAGAAATTCGTTTGGACCAGCTTTGACTGCAGGTACCTTACTGCCGGCTTGCACGCCATGCGAATTGAGTACTTCCAGCGCGGGGGGTGATGCGCGTCTTTTCTTCCGGTGCCGCGGCAGACTCGAGGAAGCAGTTTTGTGTTTGCAAAAGGAGCACCAACATACCCAGGTCTCCAGGGGTGAAGCTAGGTTGGAGGCCATTGCTATTGGGAGAAGGACATGGAGAATGGGATCGTGTTAGTCGATCTCCCTTCTGACTTGCTCAACACACGACGGTCGATGCTTGATGCGTTGGTCCGAGGTATTCGGGGCCCGACACGGATGGGCAAATGATAGTGGTGCCACCGACTAAGCTGGGCTTCCCGAGATCTCAGACTTGGATCAAGGCCAGTGCTGACAGAGTGAGGGGGTGGGGTGTGCATGAATTGAGGTGGTCCAGGTGTGAAAGAGTCCTGAGTCTAAAAGGATTTGTCTCGGCCAAACGAAGAGATTGTGGTAAGGGGAGTGAGGATGAAGCCTATATTATGGTCTGTATGGTATACAGTGCAAACAGACCCGAAGCGAGGTGTTGTTATGTGCTGTTTGTTTAGTTTAGATTCGGCATCCGAGTTGGGACATCCTCATGACATTTCTTTCTGGGAAAGCTTGAGGCAGAATGTCGATTCAGCCCCGAACAGGCCGAACAATTTATGTTCAAGGAGTACGAATAAGACATTTGTATATGTTTGTATACAGCAAAATCAGGTCCCACAAGAATCCTTCACTCATGTGAGCTCTTTGAGCATGTGCCCACTCAACCACTGCGTATTGCATCACCGCCTGATGTGCACGGAGGAAGTCTTTGATGTCTCAGTGGACAATCCGAGTGAGCTGCCGCCCTCAGACGATCTCGGAGACTTCTCCAAAGCGCATCGCGGCCAAACATGGAGCGCCTCCCGTCCCATGAGCCTCCTGTGGAGGTCCCTATCTGCCTATCCCATCATATTCCGTTGACGTCGGGGACGTGGACGATCCAAGGTATCCCAACGCACTTCTGCTTTACCGGGCGGACGATCCTTTCCAGAACACCGGTCCTGGGGAGGCTCTTGCCGGGCGTGTCGCTTCCAGAACTGCAAGGTACCGGCAGGCTGTCAAAGATAGATGTTTGGATTGTGTTGGCTCGATCCAGAATGCCTGCTGCCTTCTTACTCCACATTTGTGGATGGATGTTTCTAGTTTGGCTCGGGAGGGGATGCATCCTTTGTTCATTTGGTCAACTATTCCAGTTCGGCTTTTGACAGGATCAGGTCTGAAAAGACTGCAAATTGTGTGAGACAAAAAAGCCTGCTGTACTTTCCAGGTGCTATAGTGGTCCCCAAGTAGGACAATGAGAATGGGAATGGATTTCTGCCATGGGGGCGCTAAAGTATATCTCATGTTCGGCCAACACCTTTTGAAATGTCAACATGTCAACAGCCTGGCTCTGTTCTGCAACTCCTTTGTGGTCAAGAAGAATGTTCCTGCAGGCAATGAGTGACTATCTGACTAACCATGTGCAGGGATGTGCACTATAGGCTCGCTGGAACTCGAACTCCTTCAACCCTCAACATCATTCAGTCTCGATTCATTATTGGCCCTGAGCCAGCCTACAGCGCAGCCTTCCCATCAGGGCGCCTTCAGTATGGAGGTGACGGATCTCAACATCCCGATCTATGTCCGGTGGCAAGGTTTCGCCGAACAGCAGACGCCCACATAGTTGATATTATGTTTTCTCGTTTTTCCGGATTCGTTTCCAGGGATGACTGGAAGAACTCAGGGATTTCTAGGGACTGAACTTTGACCACGGGAGAAAATAATCAGGAGATGTTCGCTTGATGTTTCCCGCTCCCGACGGAAAACCTACGCTAGTCTGCGAGCTTCGCGCAAGGCTACTTCCTCTTTGTCCGTGGCGGGGAGTACATCTTCCGCCGCTTGGTACAGGTCTAGACAGGTCCAAAGGGACACCCAAATGGACACAAGGGTGAGAATCATGAAGGATTCTGGATCTAGCGATCCCCAAGTTGGAAGCTTTCGTTTTGGACACAACATCATTTTGTGCGCCAAGAGTTCTTCGAAAGTGACATAGTGCTGTGGAAGCTTGGGACATCGCTTGCGAAGGGATTGGGCAGATGAGAGATGCATGACCTCATCACCGCAATTACTCCAATGGCCTTTCATATTCCGCACTTGTGAGACTGCGGTATGAATTTGTGAATAAAGACTCTGAAAGGCAGAAAGCGTAACAGACTGAAATGCCGTTCTGTGTGCACAAAAAGCCAAATGCCAATTTCTAGTGATACCAATCCAGATTTCAGCCAACATAAAGTTCACACCAGAGCCGCATCGGCTCAAACGTCGCAGCAACCTCTTTTGGCAGAAACCGTTGCAAGGACATGCAAGGACTCTCTTCAAAGCTGCATACGGTATGGGATTGATTTGTTGCATCTTTTGGTTCTTTTTAAGTCACCAAACTGACATCGCCAAAGGTCGTATCATCCCACATCGCCCAGGCCTCGAGTCGGACGACGGGGGGCGTGTGACCTTCGGCGGCCGCGGCATGGAAGGGGAGAAGGTGCGGGCTGCGCGCGCGCACGCCATCGTCGTCCGAAAGTGGAATGGGTGGGAGGGGGCATCTGAAGAGTTGTAAACAATGGTTGTTTCTTTTTCATAAACTGAAGTGTTTCCCTGAGTAGACATGTATGACAGTATGTCTCGCAAGGATTCGCCTCATTGGATGCCCACAGAAAGGCCGAGGGGACCACATGAATCGAGGGCTTGGCTTTTTCCAACTTTTGGGCTTCGTAGAGAGAGAGAGAGAGGTGTATCATCTCATCATCAAGTCGTGAGCGGCTCGCCTTTTGGATAGCAAAGTGAGCTGCCTGAGGTGATGGTGGACAATCCTGGCATGCAGGAAGGCTCCCAGACAGCGCAAACCAGGCGACGGAACCTGGCGATTCCAAGTGTGTATATGGGTATGGGTAGAAGTTGGGTTCAACTTGGGAATCTTAGGTGTACATGACAGGTTTATTCAATCTTTTTGGGAGGTGAGGTGAGGTGACATTTTTGGCTCTTTTGGAGCTGTACTTGAGAATCGGGACCTGAATCCTGCGCCGACTGATCGACAGGATGCAAGTGCTTCCAGGGCTGCACCCGGTGCGTGTGGAGTTCTTTTGGAAGCCCTCGGACACGGTGGCGAGCATCCAACGGCCTCCAGGGATCAAGGCTAATGGGGGATAGGGTGGATTTGGTGGGAGTGATGGGAAAGAGAAGATATTCCAGGGGAAGGATGTAAAGATGAAATATTTCTGTTGCAATCTGTTGATTGAAGTGCCTGGAGCCTTTCCCAAGAAGGCCGAGTCGTGCACCCCATGAGTGGGTGTCTCCACACACAGAGCTAGACATGATTGTTTCGATTCACAAAGTCTACCCTGCTTTTGGTGTTTTCCAGGTCGAGCCCTGGATCATCCGGGATTAAATCGGATCAAAAGTATCAGCCCACCGAAAGGTGAAAAAGACTCGGGCACATCGAGGGCTTCATTGCGTGTCAGTTTCCAAGCACATCGAGGTGGCTCGTCACCTCTTGTGACGCCGACCGTCGGCTGACAGGTCACCTACACCGGTTTCGACACACAAGGCCAGTGGCGGTCATGAGTGTTTTTGGTTTCCCGAACAGGGCGTACCAAAAAGCGGGAAGAGATGACCAACAGGAGTCTAATCTGGGATAGGTCTATGGGTTCTCCAAATTCCGTAGAGTTTTATTGGTTCTTTTAGTTGCTTGAGCACTCCTGCAACTTCTGGCCATCCAACTCCTGAATTCTAGAAGGAACGATGCCAGGACACCCTACCCCAGGGATGTCTCACCCCATGTCTCACCCCGAGTTTAAAGGCAACAACTGGTAGAAGGACTGATTGGTTGGAGTAAAGATACTCCAACAGTTGGCTACTGGAGGCCTTTCCTCCAATGAATTGAAGTAGCAGATTGGCAGACTTTCCAATTTGCCCTTCTTGATTCTCATGCATCAGATCTACATCAGGGGCTCCCAAACAATCCTGTAAGATCTGTAACCACCTGACCAGCAGGTCCCTCAGCAGGCACTTTGCCCACCTTCTCAAATTTGGCAATCAGGTACCCCCAGTCAAAGCATGTCACAGTGCCAGGCTACTTTCTGTCCTTGAGCCGGGACGCGGGTGCGCGGATGACCACGCAGGAGTATGACTGTGAGCTAAGGCGAAGAGCTGGGAGCGCCCGGTCGAGGTTGTGGAGGTCTCAGACACTCAATCTGCCAACCCGAGACTTCTTGGGATCAAAACCCTTAAAACTGGGGGGCTCCCGTTTTGAGACACCCCAGATTGGCTGTTTCATGGGTAGTGAATTCATCATGCGAGTCGATGAACAATGCATGGAGAAACCAGGAAATCCGCTAGCATCCCGCATCCCACTCTCAAGTTGGCCGTCTCTATCACGTCATGCCCTGGTCTAGTAGTCTAGGTCCAAAAAGGTCACATAACACCTTCTCAAGGCCCCTAAAGTGGTTAGCTTATGGGTGAAACAAACGACTCTACAATGCCTTCACATCCAAAACACTTTCCAAAAGGGGATTTGGGCACTGAAACCTAACCACGTCACTATAGGACCAGAGCTTGAGTCGATGATGTTCTACTGCTCCAAGCACTTGATTTCTGTGTTGAGAACGTGAAAGTCAAGTTTCATTTTTGCTCGTCAAGCATGTAGATCATGTAGCGACGCAACTTTCCAGAAAAGAAACCAATGGGCACAGGGATGAGGTTGGTGAAACATGCTCTGGATACAGGTGCAGCTCAAAACACTAGGTGCACTGGCGGAGGTACAGGTTTTTAAGCTTCAAATGAGATTCAATGGCCAAACCAAAGGGTACTGCACTATTCTTCCCCAAAACCCTTGCTTGGAGAATCTTTGAGACTCAGCCCTCAAGTTGGGTCAAAAAGGTCCGAAGCTCACATTCTCTTCCCTGGCCATCCGAAAAGTCCAGGAAGTCTCCTCGTCCGACACGTCTCGCCCGACCCCTTGGTTGACCCGGTGGACTCATGTTCACTCCACACCGACGACGTGCGCACCGACAACTGCAGGCGCTTTGAATGGGGCGGTGGCATGAGCGTGACACGGGACTGTGCTGGGTGCCTGGGCTGCCTGGAACCATTGGGTTTTATCTACTTACAGTACTACTTTCTTCCTTTCTTCCTTTCTTCTTTTTCTTTTTCTTTGCTTCTAGTAGCAATGGCCTCCGCCCTACTGTAGCGATGGCCTCCAACATTTCTTTTCAACTTACCTTACTACTTTCTATATAAGTATCTCGGACAATCCCTAATCTTCCAAACCAGCGAATGGTTGCTGGGTGGAGACTGTGAAAGCCATGTAACCAATGGGTTTCTTTCACTGCCCCTTCTACTGCGGCGTGTTCGGAGGTCCTCTATTCAAGTCAACATCTCACTTGGCGCAGTGGTTCCTTCAGTGGTTCTTTCTCCGCATGTTTTTTTTGGAACAAAGAAACTCTTGTCTCTTGACAAGCCAGACATGTTTATTCTCTATCTACTGATGCGCTCGCCAGTTACCAGGCTAATTCGAGATCTTCAACACACTCATCACGGCCCTTTCAACCCTTTCAACCTGATACCGTTGGCGTGTTTGCCCCTGACCATCTCAGGGCGTGCTTCGTCGGCTTTGAGTCGAACTTGGGCGACCGGATCTGCGACAACGGTGAGGGCACCACCAGCAGCCTCGAGTGCCGCCCGTTGGAAGTAAGACGAGGGAATCGGCGACACCGAGTTGCAAAACTGAGAGAAAAAGAAGGAACAGAGAATCTGCAGAATCCTGAAGATCAGAGGCATGTGCTAGGCAAGGACGAACACTTGCCTCGTTTTTCTGATCTTCCACCATCCCCCTAATTAAACCTCTCCTCTCACGCCAAGCATTCATTAGCAGTCACTAGCTTCTTCCAGGTTGTTTGGCCAAGTGAGCACCGCCTGCCCAGGTTCTCAATACAACTTCGACAACTTCGATTGTTCTCCCACGTACCCGCAGAAGCTGGAGACGACGGCACGCCCCAGCATCACCTGCCACCAGTCCTGTCCCTCCAGCAACTTCAGGCGGGAAGAAGTCGAAAAAGTATGGAAAAGTGACCCGTCGGGTGTTTGTCCTCGAGAGAACTGCCTACTCAGGCGGAAGAACTGCGCCACCTGCAGCTCTACCACCTCCAATGGTAACTTGGCTTGATGTGGCATGCTGAATGGGAAGCCAAAGTGACTTCTTATTCTTCCCAATTCATAACGTTCCTATTGAGGGTATAGTTACAGTAGTTTTTGGTTTCCACCGTTGGTCGGTGATCCTTGATGGGTCAGTTGCGAAAACAGGACTATGGTGGAACATTGGACATGAGATGGTGTGCAGTTTCTCGAACCAAGAAGAAGAATCGTTTGACAAGAGTCCTCAGCCTAATATTCCTCGTCACAGGGACAGCCATCAAAATGTTGGCACTGTCTTCTGCAAGGGTCCCTATTTACGAATCATCATCATGTTGCTGTGCACACGACAGACTCCTGCAGAAGCCGTCTCACCGAGTGCGTCGTCAGGCCAGCTGTGCATCGAAGCCTATGACGACTACTGCCCCTCTGGCAATCAGGTCACTTGCCTTTGAAGCCTTTGAGCCCATCGCAACAACGCTGGATCTGTTGGCAAGCTTCGTTTCGATGGGATGCGAAAATGAACGGCATGGTCCCACATGCAGTGTCCATGCTGGTAGAGAAATGCTTATTTATTTATATATACATGTACATATACATAGAGACGATCACGAGGATTTCCAAGCGAAGCTCTTCGGCGGTCTGCTTCGCTCGCCCGTCCATTTACTCTAGAATCAAAAATCAAAAGCTATCTCCTTTGTGGCCCCTGGTGTTCAAATTTGGTGCTTTTCAGCTCGGTCATGTTTTTCCTCCTTTTGCTGCCTGAGTCAGCTGCTGAGGAGGATTGCACCTTTTTGACCTGCTGTGTGGCAAAGGCTGGGCACTGTGCGACACCAAAACCATCCTCCACTTTGGCAGTCCCCCTCTGTAAGACATGCTTGAGTTGCCAACTCAACCCGGATGTGTACCTGAAGTCATTTCGGTCTTTGCCGTCGATCGCAGAGCGCATGTCGGAGAGAGGTCAGTGGCTTGAACTACTGGGGAGAAGATTGCCTAGCTTTCGGCACAGCCAGCAATTGCTCAGGCGGACTGGAAGAGTTGGATGGGAAGAGGTTTTGGCACGTGAGGGAATGGTGGCCGGTGGTTAGATATATGATCCGACACTTGGGCTTGGAATGTAGATTTTCGCTTCGATGTTTTTTTGTTAACCTGACCGGTTTTGCGATACCATGTCACTCTTGTGACCACGGTCACCGATCTTGTGCAGGAAAGCTGTTGGATCGGTAGGTTCTTGGACTACGTCCCCCGTTAGACGCAAAAGCCCTTCGCACAGCGGAGAATCGACAAAGTGAAGATCTGTGGAACTGATCCGAACCCCCTGCCTCTCAGCACTTGGGAATATCTGGAGCGCACCAAAATAACCCTTGCTTACCCACCAGGCATGGGAGGTAGGTGAATTGCATTTTTGGATTCCCATTGGCACAGCCCCTGACAACTTTGGATTCTTTTGAGCATCTCCGTTTTCTCACGAAGACTTGTGTTGCGTTTCAGACTTTCTTAAACATTTGCTGCTGACTGCGAACTTGGCGAATTCGATCACTAACTTGGACGATGTGAACTTGAAAGCTCTTGATCCTCTTGGACCAGGGAAGTTGAACGTGATCCTCTCACGGCTTCAACTGGAGCGCTTGCCCATGGATGCTGCGGCGGTCTACGACCCTCTGGCACCACGCCCGCGACCCACAGGCGGGAGAAGGATGGAGTTGTGAAAGAGGATGAATGATATTGAAGACATGTAGTTATACAGTATTCAAAGGACTTGGAATCTGATTGACTTCTGACGTAACATGTAGGAGGATGGCCCTGCTTCAAAAGGCTTGAGGTTGTTCAAACAGGGGCATGATGTGCTCCAGGCCATTTGGTCTTGCTGGGGTTGGTTGAACCTCGGATGTCAAGGTTTTGGACGGCTTTTGCAGGAATTGAGCGCTTGGGCCCGACCTTTGTGCTTCCTGCAAGGTAGCATGATGTCCGAGTGCTATCAGAGCAACTGCAATCAGATCACAGAGGATGCAGCACATGTCGCGGCTAAGGGTGGTCAAGATATGTCTCGTGATGTCGAGCACTGGATTCCGTCAACGACGTGTTGGGTAGATTACTTTAAGTGTCCCTTCCCCTCAAAAAGGGTATTGAACAAAAAAGACACACTTTGACTACCCAGCGGCACTGGTCACCGGCGAGGAGTTCGTGCTGAACCCCTTCACCGGTTTCTACACTGATCAGCGAATCTGCCCGGTGCAGGTGGGCTTGGAGCCTTTTCTGGCCGTGGATTTGTTTTGGGGTACAAACCGGTCGAGGTAGAGGACCATACGGACGTGTTGGTTGATTCACCTTCCATCTCCCACCCACATGTGTTGGTGGGTTGGCAAAGCAGTCCATTTTTCGTGGGATGAAAAGGACATGTTCCCTTGTTCTTCAGGGTTGACCACTCCGTTGGTGTTGAAGTGCTGTTGGAGAGTCCTGGAAGATGAGGGGACCAGAGGAGGGGTCCGTCCAGACAGAGTGAATTCTCAGATTTTTGGACAGGACAGGTGTGGTGGAGTTAGTCCAACAAATTCTTTTGGATCTGGAAGACAGACTGTTAGTTAGACATCCAACAATGAGCAATCCTTCGGGTGACGCCCACCGAACGTTCCTCCGTCACAGCCAGCTAGTATGTGAAAGTGTTTGTTTGAGCCCATCATTTCAAGAAAAATGTAAGGAGCCGCCCTAAAACAGCAACAAGAAGCTACTAGTAGCAAAGGGCATCGCTACCAGGAGCAAGGACTCTACTAGCAGCTCCTGGCCTTACTACTAGTAACAAGAAGCTACTATTACATACCGTGAGGTCTTGGTGCTGAATCCTTCACTGCCGCAGGAGTCGGTGGATCCGGGCTTCCAGTGCTATGAGGGGCCCTTCGCGGCGGCGGGGATCACCGATGTGCTCACACAGTGCCAGGCTAGGGGTGTGGCGCGGGCGTCGGCGTCGTCGGATGAGGCTGGGAGGTGTGATGTTGAGATGCGTGAGATTTAATGTCAGCATGTTTGCGAAGTTGGAGATCACCATGTTCTCCTTTTGGCAGGCCCCCACCTTTGAAGGCTACCTCTCCAAACCACCAAGAGACCGGCACACCTTACATTGGGAGTTTTCGTGCGCATATCTAAGTAGTGCGACAAATGGATATTTGATGATATTTGCTTGGCACCTGATGGAACTACCTCTGATTGCTGCTTCCTTGTCTTCCACTTCGCCTTAGTCCTCTTGCAAAGACACTTGTTGCTATAGCAACAGTATCACTTCGTGTCGATGGCTTGAGTCAGAAACCTCTCTGCAGCAAGGACAGCAATTTCCAATACAACTTCTGCCGGAACCGGAAGAGCGTCGACGGCCGCCCCTTCCGGGCACCTTGGAGATCCGGTTTCGGCGGGTTTCTTCTGGGGAAGTGAGGAAGAGATTCTTGGCAGGATGGTGTTTTGATGTGTTTTGCGTGATGTGTTGAACTTCATTGCGTGGTTAGGATTGAGGTATGCCAGTAGTTTGAATGACAGATCATGCACAAAAGGAAGAATGGTTTGCCGCGCTGCTGAAATTTGTGCCAGTGCGCTGGTTTGAGATCTCATACGCAGGACCTTATCCAACATGACCTGGTGTTGAACGTTCGTATTTGGAAGGCCTGGTTGGCCTCAGCAGTTGAATCACTGTGGATTATGTAGTTGTCATTGTTCACATTCCAAAATTTTCAACATCATTCAAGGCTGAGATTCGAGGAGGTACATGCTTTGCATGCCACAGAGCTTGTCCAGCAAGTTGTGGCGACGTAGTGGAATTGAATTAAGTTCGGGTGGAGCTGAAAAGAGGCCTGGACTGCCCACATAACTTCATAACTTCACATCACCTCACTTGATACGTGGCCATTCAATCTCCCACACCACCGCGATCTACGCACGGTCGACGGCCACCCAACAAAGGTTTGCTGCAGCTTCCTCTTCCTGAACCCTCAGGGCATGGCGGAGTGTCGCTTCATGGGAGCGGCGCAGGGCAGTTGCCAGCTGCTGCTGGAGGTGTCGCTGGTGTCGGCGATTGGATGAGGTGTTGGTCAGAGCCAGGTGAGGTGGTGTGTTTGAAGTACTCCCTATCCACTCCATGAACCATTCCTTTGTAACTGCGTGGTGGTGTTCTTTTTGTGGCAAGGATGCTATTAGGTGAGGCCATCGCAAGTAGGTTGGAGGCCATCGCTAAGAAGCTACTAGACTAGTAGCCACTAGAGCATCCATGGTTTAGGCCCCTTTTTTTGTGCAAGCAAATCCAGCTTCGCTGAGAAGGGTCAACCGATCAACTTGGGTCTCCAGAAGCCTCAGATCGCCTGCCGTATTTCAGACCCCTGACAAGACTGTTTTTTCCCCAAACAGTTTTCTGTTGGGGTTCTATCTTAGAAACAAAAGAGCTGGCCACACTCACTGGCCGCGCCGCTGAACTCTGTGGCTGGGCTCTGTGGCTGGGCTCCGTGGCTGGGCTCTGTGTCCAGGCCTTGTCCTCCTCTTGTCCTCTGTGGCTGGGATCTGTTCTGTGTCCAGGCCTTGTCTCTTGTGGCTGGGCTCTGTGTCCAGGCCTTGTCCTCCTCTTGTCCTCTGTGGCTGGGCTCTGAGTCCGGCCTTGTCCTCCTCTTGTCCTCTGTGGCTGGGCCTTGTCTTCTTCTTGTCCTCCTCTTGTCCTTGTCTTGGCCGCGCCCCTCAACTCTGTGGCCCGGCTCTGTGTCCGGGTCTTGTCCTCCTCTTGTCCTTGTCTTAGCCGCGCCCCTGAACTCTGTGGCTGGTCTCTGTGGTCCGGTGTACTGGAGAGGAGTGTGGCCGAACAAATAGCGATATCAATGCCGACAACTATACAAGCATAGACCCCAAACAGCTTCAAAGCGATTCGTTTAGACCAATATTCGTCAAAAGTCGATTTCTTGGTACGCCCTACCTTCACCCCAAGAGCAAACTGCTTCATCAATGAATTTTGGCATTGACATCGCTACTTGTTCGGCCACACTCCTCTCCAGTAAGCCGGACCACAGAGACCAGCCACAGAGTGCAGGGGCGCGGCCAAGACAAGGACAAGAGGAGGACAAGACCCGGACACAGAGCGAAGCCACAGACTTCAGGGGCGCGGCCAAGACAAGGACAAGAAGAGGACAAGGCCCAGCCACAGAGGACAAGAGGAGGACAAGGCCTGGACACAGAGCC